TCACTGCAGTTAACACTTCCATTGCTCAGTTTACTGATTAAATTTTGCAGCCTTAATCTTCAGATCCTGTTTAACTGCTTAACACTCTTTTCTTTGAGATCAACAAGTCTGCGAAGAGACATGGTTTAGGCAGCACTGGGGAGGGAAAGAGAAACGCTTTGTCAAAATACAGGAGTTGCGAGATCAACAAGTCTGTGACGGGACATGGTTTAGGCAGCACTGGGGAGGGAAAGAGAAACGATGAAGGCAGGGATTTTAGATTTGAGTTTTTCCAGAAACAAAGATTCTTCCCCCTTGTTATGCCTCTTTTTTGTCATTTGAAGTGATATCACTGGATATACAGGGACACATGTCTTGTTAATTGTCTAGCAGTAAGATTTTTTTTCAGTACTTCTTTGCCAGGGTCCAGCATATTTCCATAGCTATTGGCTATGGCTGAACTTCCATGTGCTTTTTTGACTGTTGCTTCCTGGTTCTTAAGGTGCATTTGCACTAAAATGTCAAGAAAGGGCAATGGCACTAAACTTTGCCCCTAGTACAAAGTAGCACAAAAAACAAACCTTTGGTTAAGGAGAGAGAAAATAATATAGGAACACTAGGAAAAAAAATATCCAAAGGGATGCAGGAGAAACGAGGATGATCAGGGGACTGGAAATCAAGCCCTATCAGAAAAAAGAGAAGAGAAGAGAAGAAAAATCTGGACATATTTAACCTTCAGAAAAGATGACTGAGATGTGATAGCACTTTTCAAATACTTCAAACATATTTAACCTTCAGAAAAGATGACTAAGGGGAGATGTGATAGCACTTTTCAAATACTTCAAAAGTAGTCATACAGAGGAGGGGCAAGATCTGTTCTTAATCATTCCAGAGGACACATAATAATGATCTCAAGTTACAGGAAGCCAGATTTCAGTTAAATGTTGAGGGGGGGAACTTCCTAATTGTTATAGCAATATGACAATGGAATCAACTCACTTTGGATGTGGTGAGTACTCCAACACTGGAGGCATTCAAGTGAAAGTAAGGCAGCCATCTATCAGATATACCGTACTTTAATTTGGATTCCTGCACTGAGCAGGGGGTTGGATCTGATGGCCCTTATAAGCCCCTTCAAACTTCATTATTCTATGTCATTTGGACACCGAGGAAAACTCAGACATGATCAGCACATAACCAGCCCTTAAGGTAGAACAAGTGCTGTGTCTGGAAGATTGCTTGTGTATAACTTGTTTCGAGACTCGGCTATAATATTGTTGGGGTAGGGGGAGCGCTTGAATGCCACTTCAGGCAGAAAAACATCTGTTGCATGCACAGAAGAAGAAGAAGAAGAAGAAGAAGAAGAAGAAGAAGAAGAAGAAGAAGAAGAAGAAGAAGAAGAAGAAGAAGAAGAAGAAGAAGAAGAAGAAGAAG